CCGCTGCCTGCTAGTAGGTAACTACTGTGGTGTAACTGGAGTCGCTTAACGTCGTTTCGCTGAAAGTCGGCTTTTCAAGACCGTAACGACGACGTTCAGCGAGGAGTAGCGGTACGTACTAGCAGGCGGCGACCAAACAGCGTTATCACCAAGCATTGCACGACTTTAAACGAGCGTGTTCTCTAATAGATCAGCAACGTAATAACGAAACAACGTTAACCAGGATGACATTAAGTGAGGAGTACCTGCATATATGTAGATGCATTTATGTAAAAGAAAGAGCTCTGCTTTTCACATTCCTGAAGCACAGACTTTAAGGACAATGCCAAAAATCATGAGCGCTGGTGACACCGCACATGTGGCCCTGCTGGCGACAAGCATCCTCCACCCCTGCCTGGGGTTCAGATACTTCCAGATCCCTTGGCGGGCATCCTACGTGCAGGCCCAAGTCCAGAGACTTGGGGTTCGGAGGCCCCCAAGTTTCGCTTGCCCCCAGCTGTACGGCTGCAGGAGGAAGCGAGGGAGTCGTCTCCCGTTTCCATGAAGGTGGTGTGTAGCCAAGATCCTCCCCCCGGAAGTCGAAGTGGGAAGCTAACGATGAGGCCGTCGTAGGGAGTCCTGTCCGCAAGCAGACACGGGTGCACCCTCCACTACAAAGGGCCATTTAAATTGCATTACCTCGGTCAGGGTATTTCCCCTGTCACCACCGTAGATGTGGTATTTGACGTGTGCAAGACACTTCCAGTTTGCTCTGGACGCGCAGACCTTTCCCAGACAGGGCATCAGCCTGCCCCGAGCACGGGGTGCTTCCCACGACACATGTGCAGGGTAATGAGAGCGGTCTGGCCCGTGCACCAGCTGCTCCCGTGCAACCTCCACGCTCAGCGGGAGCTCGGGTCGCAGCTGCAGGAAACGGGATTGGTAAACCCTGAGATTCGTCTCACAAGCCCAGGCTGTGCCCAGCTGGTTTGGGCTGGCACAGATCCGCCCGCACCAGGCTGTGCTGGGAGGACAGTGTGCCTCACCGCCCAGATGCTGCCTTCGTCTTTGCCAAGGGACACGGATGAGGCTCTGCCCGTCTAGAAGGAGTGCAAATGGTTTATTTTCAACAAGGAATCATTGCACAAGCGTCTCCTGGTGCTCCTGGCTGGAGCTCGCCAGGGTCCAAAGCAGCAGAAACAGTGCCGTGGGGCAGGGCGGAGGGGCTGTGCTCCCTGCTCCCGTCGCCCTGGCATCCCAGAGCACCAGCCACCCCCTGGGTCCAGCACGGCACCTACCCCCAGGCCGCTCAGCTACCAGCTCAGGGCAGGTGCTGCAGGAACAACAGGGCTAGAGCACGAGGCAGCCGAAGAGATGGAGGAGGAGGGTCCCTTAGCTGTTGTCTGTGCGCCTGTGCAGAGGACAAGGCAGGGGACAAGGCGTCGTGAGTAAGCTCCAGTCTCCAAGCCTCAGCGCAGGGTGTGGGGGACCCAGTCCCCAGAGGTGCACCCCAGAGGTTGCCGCTTCTGCAACCCCTCAGGAGGGGTGGAGGTCCCTGCTGCAGAGCTGTGGACCCCAGGACACAGCCTGCTGCATGGTCCCGACTGCACGTGGGGGGCAGAAGAGGAGTCCCCACAGCTCCGGGTGCGTGGGGTGGAGGCAGAGCCGGCCCTGCCCCAGGGCACGCTCGATGCCTCCTGCTCCTGGGTCACTGGCACCTCACACTGCCCAGGCCTTCCCAGGGGAGGAAGAGGAGGAGGAGCAAGGCAGCCCAGCAAGCAGTGACCCCAGAGACCTCCAGCCCCCCACGCCAGCCTCTCTGCAGGGCTCTATCCCTGCCACCTGCTCCTGGTCCCCGGAAGAGAGACCTCATTACCTTCTCAGCAAGAAGAAGAAGAGCAAGAAGAGCAGGACAGCCATCAGCACCTTCTCCAGGGCAGCCCCGAGCCAGAACATGGGGCCGGGCAAGAGCCACAGCCCCGAAACAGAGGCTGGATCTGCAGCTGAAATGCATGGGGTCAGCAGACACACCAGAGCCCCGTGGGAAGGGTCCCCACTGCCACCCCCAACCCAGGCCGGAGGACACGTGGCTCCTAGCCCTCCCCCCGAGCTCGCAGGCGGCTGTGCTAGGATTTGGGGCAGCCCACGTGGGGCGCTGAGATGGGCCCATCGGGCACCAGCAGGGTCTGGTGCAGCCAGACCAGGAGTTTTGCACAGAGGAGGAGGAGTGGACATAAGGCTGCCTGCCCTGCCCCTGTGCTAGCACAGGCACCAGAAGAGATCTGACCCCTTCTCACCGCCACTGCGGCTGCTCTGCTGAGTTTAGGGCAATCTCTCTGTGAGCATATCTAGGGCTGGGACAGAAAACCCCCTGGGATCTGCAGCTCCCTCCAGAGAGGTGTCCCTGTCCTCACGATCCCTGCCCGCTGCATCCCAGCTGCCCGGTGCGCGTCTGGGGATGCACTCACCACGCACAGACACCACCGTGTATGGTCCAGAGAGGAACTCCGTCAGTTCACTGTACGGTCCTCTACTGAACTTCACGCAGTAATAGGTGCCGGCGTCCTCGGGGCGGATGTCACTGATGCGGATGGAGTAGTCTCTGGGAGAGCTGGCTGCAACCCTTGTGACCCGGGGCAACGACTGTGTCTCTTCGGAGATGGGCTGGCGGTCCTTGCCCTTGCCCTTGAACCACTCCACTGGCCCTGCTGGTGCATCCGCAGGCACGATGCAATTCAGCACGAGCGTCTTCCCCACCGACACCGATGCCGAGTTCTGGCCCCCGGTGCCTAGGACGCAGAGGACGGGACGGGATGGGGTGAGGAGACGGAGAGGGAAGGTGGCACTTTCTGCAAGACTTGGGAGTCAATATGCAGCAATGACTGGCCGTCACATCCCGCTGGGGCTGGGAGCTCTGCACAGGCTGGGGTTACCCCTCAGAGGGAATGGCAGGCAGCTAGTGCTCTTTAAAGGGCTGGACGGGGAGGGGAAAGGCCGCTGGGGCCTCAAGTGCTGACCGCCTGGGAGCCGTGTCGGGATCACCTTCTGGGGTCAGCTCAGGCCCTTACTCCCCCCTGGACACTGGCACTTGATCACCATCCTGATGCAGCAGGGCCGTGCCCAGCCCGGGGGGGGCCCTGCCCTAACGTCATGCTGTTTACGGGAGTGCCTGTGGTCGGAGAGGGGAAGTCTTGCCCCGGGCTGGATTACGAGACAGGAAGCAAAGAGGACAAGAAAAAGGTGGAGTAACCTAGGACCTGGTTAGCTCTGGGGTGCTGGGGGCTGGTGTGCTTGGGGTGCTTGGGGCTTGCCGCAGACACTAAAGACAGGGCTGAAACAATAAAGTCATGCGCGGCTCAATGACAGATGAACGGCAATATTGATGCATGCTACTTATTATCCTCACTACGAGGAGCATCAGCCAAAGTGCTGCATGGTGGTAGTGCCTGGAGACCAGCCGCGAGCAGGACCCCCTGGGCTTGGGGACTAACCCATGGTCCTGTCCATCCATGTCAAAGCGGAAAGGCCTCTTCAAACTGCAGGTGGGTGGGTTAGGAGCTGGGTTAAACCCCAGCCAAATGAAGCAGGGTTTAGGAGGGACGGTTAAGAATGGGACAGGCAGCGCTGACGACTGTCATGGTGACTCTAGGGAACAGCGAAAGAAGAGGGGCAAGGATCAGACCAGCTAAAGCTGCTCAGTCCGTGCCCGTTTGGGCAGCATCTCTGTTTCATACTCACCTAGGACGTCCACAAGAAGCAGCACCACGAGGGCTGGCAGACACCGGCCAGCTCCAGGGGCCAACGTGGCCATGGTGACGGCGGAGTGGGGACCCTTCCTTGCTCCAGCCTAGGTCCTCTCCCCGAGGGCAGGAACGCAGAGGTTCCCAGTCGGAAGGGTTTTCCGAAATGCAGAAGGAAGTGGGTTGCAGCGAGCAGTGGAGCAGCCGGCCCCATGGAGGCAGCGCCGGGGCCCCGTGGACACGGGCTCAGCACGGGGTTGGGCAAGGAGCCTCAGCCCTCCCCTCTCCCAGCGCGGTGACTGTGGTCTCCCATGGCAGGGCCCACAGACGACCAAGCAGCAAGAGCCCAGGGGGATGTTGGCCAGCGAAGTACCTGCCTCCCACCCAGAGTCCAGGTTTGTCCAAGGAAACGGAGATGAGAAGCACACGGGGTATTGTCCCACGCCCAAAGCGAACACCCCGGGTGGAAGAGCCCACAGCTTTGCCCCCGCACTGATGCTTCTTTACCGCCACACCTGACACCTGCCTGTAGCCGGGATATCCCAGTGCCGGCCAGGCCCAGACACGGCCCGTGCTGCCCAGGACGCTGCCAGAGACGCAGACCCACCCAGAGCCGGGGCTGTTCTCCAGCCGGGCTTTGGCCCCTTGCTCTGTGGGTCTCCTGCAGCCCCGGCTGGCCCCAGCGCAAACTAACGTCTAGGGGGGGCACCCGCTGGTGTGGCGCCACTTTGGGGGTG